CATGTTTGGATTCTCACAAACTGGAAGATATGAAAATGAAAAGCAACAAGTTGGCAGAAGAAGCATCAAACATAGGACTTCAGGTGAACATAGACAAAAGAGAAGTGATGAAGATTCCTGGCCGACAGCAACAACTACAGCCACAATAGATGACATTCAGCCAGCATAAATGGGAGGAACCTGAAAGAAACAACCTCCCTTACCTATCTACCTGGAAAGCATCGTTTCAAATACAGGCGGAACTGACGAGGATATCAAAGCAGCATGGATCGGAAAAGCAAGACAAGCTTTCATTACTCTCAAGTCTGTGTGGAGGTCACCAGCACTCAGCATGAAAAATAACATCCGGATTTTCAACTCCAATGGGAAGTCAGTGCTACTTGCCATACGGATCAGAGACTTGGCATGTCATAAAGAGCAAACAAACTACAGAGCTTCATCAACAGTTGTCTTCGCTCAATACTCAAGATCAGATGGCCGGCCAGAAAAGATTAGCGACAGGGAGAGATTTCTGGGAGCGAACCAACCAGGAACCGATTGTGCGAAAAATAGGCAGGAAGAAATGGAGATGGAGTGGGCGGCCATACTCTGAGGAAACCATCAAGTGAAATCACTAGACAAGCTATCGCTCGAGTGGAACCCGATAGGGAAGCGGCGAGTTGGTCGTCAGTGAGAGGGTGACTTGGAGGAGGTCATGTGAAGAGCAGATGAAAGTGTGTGGGCAGACTTGGAGCATGGTGAAAACGTTGGCAGAGAACCAAACGCAATGGAGACGCGCGGCTGAAGCCCTATGTTCCTCTAGGAATTAAAGGAAATAACAATAATAATTTCATTTAGTAGATTTGGAACCTTAATAGTGAGTTTAACTCAGTGAGTGAAAATCAAAATCTATCGGAATCGGCCAACTAGTTCCAACATCAAGTCCCCCACCAGCAGACGGTTTCACGTCAACTACCCCACAACACTCTGAGGTTGTTAGACTCACTGTCAGTTGCCTATATAGCAATGTGAGGGGGCTGAGAGGGAAAGTAGGTGAACTTCGAAATCTCCAAGCACACCTTCAACTGAAAATAATCATTCTCACTGAAACGTGGCTAAACCCCACTATCGCCGACAATGAAATCAGTATAGGTGATATGGTACTGGTCAGGAGAGACAGGGATAATAAGGAAGGAGGGGGAGTTGCTATATACTTTGATAGGCAACTTAAATGTGTGCGCGCAACGGACCCACCACTTATCGAACTCCCAGACTCCATATGGTGTCATTTCACCGTAGGCCACACCAAGCACTTACTGGGTGGCATCTACCGATCTCCCACCTGTGGGGCAGAGCACAATCAGCTACTGCTCAGCACTATCACAGGAATACGAGATTTGGGCTACGACCAAATCACCATAGCTGGAGATTTCAATGCTCCATCACTGAACCTTGGCTCCGGGTGTGCTAAGGGAAAATTTGGCCGAAACCTACTGCAAACTATTCGAAACACGGGACTGACTGAGAATGTTGGAGACGACACTAGGTGGGGCCCTAGTGGAAAGTCATCAAAACTAGATTATATTCTAACTAGTGACCAGCTACTCGTCGAAAAGGTCCAGATCATGACTCCTCTGGGAAGCAGTGACCATGCAGTCATAGGTTTCGATCTTGTCCTCCGTGAGCGTTTGCAATGGGATGTTACGCGACCATGTCTGTGCTACAGCAAGGCTGACTATGCTGAAATGCGGAGGCTCTTGTCCGACGCAGACTGGCCCTTAGCATGGGACGACCTATCTGTGGATGAACACTGGGAAGTGGTAAAAAAGATTATCCATGCAGCAATCTCGGATACCGTCCCTTTAGTCACAACACAGCCTAAGAGAAAGACGTCATGGTTGAAGAGAGGCACGCAACGTATTCTGCAAGCAAAGCGGAGGGCTTGGTTTACGTGGCGTGTATCTAAGAGTCAGACCGACCATGATGCATACCTCGAACTCAGGAACCGGTGTAATGCAAGAGTTAGGAGGGACAGAAGGTCATTCCAGGCTAACCTTGCTAAAAAACTCCTATCAAACCCTAAAAACTTGTACCGATTCATGTCGGAAAGAAAACCGACAAACCAAGGGGCATGCGCCTTAGTAGGCCCAAACGGTCAATATCTCACTAGTCTGGAGATGGCTGAAACATTCAGTTCAGCCTTCGCTAAACAGCTAAACAGCAATGTGGATATTACAGTTACGGACCAAAATGGTGGCACCACTATTTCAGAGGAGGAAGACCTAGCGACTACTCCCCAAATAAACCCCGCAATAGTACTAAGGAAGCTACAGCGACTCATACCTGGGAAGTCCCCAGGTTGTGATGACATCAGGCCATCTGTTCTGAAACAGTGCGCCGAGGCTCTCTGTAGACCCCTGTGCGACTTGTTCCAACACTCAATGGATTCGGGGACCCTGCCAAGGGAGTGGAAAAGAGCCATCCTTTCTCCAATCTTCAAGGGTGGGGACAGGCAAAACGCTGCTAGCTATAGACCAGTAGCTCTACTCCCAGTGGTATCAAAAGTACTGGAAAGTATTATTGACGACCACATCAGGGAATATTTCGATAGGACTAATATACTGCATGAAGCCCAACATGGTTTCAGAAAAGGCAGATCCTGCGTCACTAACCTACTGTCAGCTTGGGACGACTGGACATCATGCTGGGACTTGAACGTACCAGTCCATGTGGTCTTCCTAGACTTTGAGAAGGCATTTGACACTGTTCACCATGACCTTCTCCTACATAAAATAAGCCAGGCAGGCATAGGTGAGCCACTTCTGTCATGGTTGAAGGACTACCTAGCCGACAGGCAATTTTGCACTAAGGTTAACCGAGTCCGATCATCTTGGCACAGATCGTCATCAGGAGTGTCGCAGGGTTCTATCCTAGGACCACTGATGTTTTTGATTTTCATCAATGATCTACCACGCCGTCTGAGCTGCCCGACTCTCCTGTACGCTGACGACGTAAAAATATGGAGGGCGATAAAGTGTCCGGAGGACTCAGATAGGCTACAGGAAGACCTAAACCTTCTGGAAGACTGGGCGGTGGCCAGTGGCATGACTTTCAACTTGAAAAAGTGCAAAGTAGTGAAGTTGCGCACCTGTAGACTGCAGAATGCAAGTTACACCCTGTGCAATGAAAGCTTGTCCTGCACAACGTCGGAACGCGACTTAGGTCTAGTTCTAACGGAAAAAATGGACACAAGCGTAAATTACACAGGGGATGTAGCGAGGGCATATGCGGTCATACACTTTACGCATAGACAGTTAGGTGCACTCACTCCTGAGCTCTTTCTAATGTTGTACAAAACATACGTCAGGCCACACCTTGAGGTGCATAATATTATTGCACCCCCAATGCTGAGAAGAGATGCCAACCTCTTGGAAAGAGTCCAACGACGGGCAACAAAAGGAGTGGTTGGTCTCCGAAACAAACCATATGATGAAAGGCTGAAGAAATTAGGCCTGTTCACACTTAGTTACCGTCGGCTTAGGGGGGATTTGATTACTGCCTACAAAATAACAAATGACCAGAATCACCCAAACAAAGGTGTTCTGCCATTGAGTAGGTATAGGCTTCCACGTGGAAATCCCAGAAGGATAGCTCACCAGAGGGCAAGGACCCGGGTGCGCTCCCACTTCTTTTCACTGCGGGTTTGTCGTCCCTGGAATTCCTTACCGGCAGATGTAGCTATGGCACCGTCTTTGGACGCCTTTAAGCGAAGGCTGGACAACCATGCAGCGATACAAGGACTGCATCCAAATGGCCTATCTCCTTAAAATCGCATTTACCAATCAGGGTAGATAATTAAACTCGTCATTTTACTTCTTTACATTCTCTCCCGTCTTACTCTCCTGACAACTTATTAATATTATAATTACTATTACCGATATATATATTATTCTTCAAACTTCATGAGCTGACTGTTGTTACGTTTCCTATTTTCGTTTCTGTCTCTTAGTCTGAATAGCTTCACTAATTATATCTATTATTATTATTATTATTATTACTATCTCTTTTCTCTTGTCGACAATACCGAAGGACTAACTGGCGAAAGGATCAACTCCAATCACAGTAGTAACAGTCTTAACATACCTCATACTACAAACCACATATAATTAATCCCAGCACTACTCCCTTTGGAGTCAACCAAAGCTACGACAGTCGAGTGGCGGGACAAGCTACGCAGAAGTTTACCGAAGATCAAGAACCTATACCTCACAATCAAGAGGCGAGCACAAAGAAATCAAATTGGTTTATACTAGCTCGTAAAAACGATATTGGATTGGATATTGGATTAAGTGGAATGTTATGCAACAGAAAAAAAACAAAGGTACACGAACAAAACAATTATGGTTACCAGAGTAGTGACAAACAACTTACACTCCCTTTCTATATGCATAAGTTGGGTAAGAGCTGGACATTGACAGTTTTAGAGAGTTGGCTGACACAGACTGATTCCATCCAGGCTTATTATCAACTGCAAAATACTTTTCCGTTTCTGTTGATTCGTTACATGAGACAGACATAAATTCTATGGAATGATTCTGCTGGAATTCGGCTGGTAAACTGTTTAGAGAATCAATTGGAAGTAATTAGTTGGGACTAGCATTCATATCTTCAGTGACAAATTAGAAGGCATTTCTTGATCACACCCTGTATAGTCACCCCGTGCAATTTTGTGCTACGTCTTTTTTTATCCATAAATCCTCCTGCTCAAAGTAAGTATTTTTATTATGTGACCATCTGATAATTTATTCAGGGATGTCAGCTTGTGTCGCCGTACTTCGTCTCGTCTTTGCATTCATAACAAGTGAAGTGACTGCTTTCTCGTAGTCATCAGATTTCTACTATCTTCCCCCAACGATGATATCCAGTGAAAGTATGAAGTAAGCTCCAGATGCATTCATGTTGCTTAAACCATAATACCACCATATACAACCGAGGCACCGGGTAATTCGACTCTGAAGGTCATGTTCGGCTTGGGATCTGCCCCTCCTAAACATGATCCACCAGCCTCGATGGAACCATACGATCTTGGAAGAGACGGGGATTTGGGTGCTCTCAGTAACGCCCAACAAGGGGCGACAAATAAACTCAAGGTTTGCACAGATAAACTTTCTAACACAATTGTTAGACTCAAACACGGTTAAGTAATGAACAGTATTTGCGGCAACACCCGGAAGTGAAGTACATGGTGACAGCATTTTTGAGGTATGGAGAATAAATATGTGTTGTATTCTGCAGGGATATATTGACTAAACAGCCTGAAAATGCCCGGGAACACTTCGCTGGTAAGTGGATTAAAAAAACATACATTTCAGACTTTTTCACCAACCCAGACCTTTTAAAAAACATCAAGACAGTCGAAAAAGAGTATTCGGAGATGTATCACGATGATGGCGTCATACGTTCTCTTGCTAAAGAAGATCTTGATTCGGAGGTTTAGTCGTATATTTTCTAAAAAGAAACACCAGAATTTCATATAACTGGAATCTAGGAGTTCTGTAAATACGATTGTAATTATAATCTGTATTGATCTCAAATATACACCTTTCCCCACGACACTATATTGTCGTCAAACTGCAAAGTAGTAGTCAAGAATTCCAAGTGTAATAGATGTTACAAAGAATAATTTGGACTGTATTTCACTAATATGTTGGAAAAAGTGTTGAGATGTAATATTTTATGAAAATAAAATTGATTCTTTTCAGGCTTTTTCTCTCAAGAGTGTTTAACCTGGTACATACAACACTTGTGGCATATTCGGATTTCATATATATTGGTTGAGGATAAAACGCTTTTTCTGGGAGTCGGTTCCAAGAGTTTATTATTCAGTGTGAGAACCAGTACTCAACAGAAGTATGATTTCTTCTTGACTTTTGAACTCTCTTGCTAAGTCCCCTGAAGCTTACCTAGCAGGTGGGAAGGAAAAGAGTGAATAGGCCAGGTTCGTAGTCATTATTTAGAATTTTAAACATTGTGAATAAATCTCCTCTCTGCCTACTGTATGACAGGGAGAAGAGTTTTCCTCGTATGATAAATTAGTCATGCCGATTTCCCTAAATCTAGGATAATCACTGGGTCTAGATAATCTTCATTTTGTTTCCCTTCGAAATTTTCTAGTGTGTTTTGTGTTCCTCAGTGTAGCTTATGATGGTAAAAATTGGTTGTGTGAAATAAATTATTGACCGAATAGATTCACTCTTTGTTATGACTGTAAGACATGGCCATCGGGAATTGAAAAACTTAACAGGTTAGCCTTGATTTGGCTACAGATATTTACGTCGTGTCTGTTGTGTTAGGCAGTGTAATGTGGTGAGCAATTTCGGGGTTAGGTGTAGTGTTAAGTAAGAAGGAGGTGGAAAGTCAATCTGTGAGGTTGCTAAGCTACATCGATTGACATGGCTAGGACACGTCACGCACGACGGGCCACCACCTTCCCCTAACGAGGGATTTCAACTGATATGGGATCAGTCTGGGAAAGAATGAGGAGTGGTCATTTCGAAGCCTAAGTTCAGTTCATGAAGTATTTGAAAGCTGGTTTGAGCCAGCCACGTTGATTTAAACCAAACATGTAGGGAAGTGTAGACTATCAGATTGGGATCCTTGGGATTCTAAGTACCGATGGCTAGAAACTGTTGATCATATGACTCAAAGTCGTTGTCAATGGCTCAAATGTAATGACTCCTTTTAATCCTCGAGATGCGTTAACTCCTCATGCTTTTCGATGTTACCATTCTTTATGTTGTACAGTTTTGCTCATTATAATATTTTTGAACACCTTTCTTTTCTCTACGTTCGGGTTCTAGATGGAGTGTGGCAACTTGATTTAGTGCACTTTTGTGCATAGTTCTATGCTGAAATTCAGTCGATTGATCTTTTGAGTTGAACATACTTAACTCAGTGGTGGCAGATTAACCAACCATTAATTAGAAGGCCTAAACGATGGACAATGAGTGAATGCGAGATTTTGCAGATATGAATCAGTACAAGTTGGCACACACCATGGTGTTATATGAAAAAGTAGATGAGAGGAATATACTGGTACTAGAATGGACAGGAATTTTCAGGCGATATAACTTCGTTATGCTTTCCAGATATCGGAACATCATAAGTGGTGAACACATCCGTAGCAACGTTAACAACTTGAAGCCATGTCGAACAATATTATCATACCACCCGACTAGCTTTATCACTCCTCCTCCAGTTAACAGGCCTCCTGTTGTGGTCTCTCTGTCTCCACCTCATTGAGCCTGGAAAGTATCACCAACCCTTCTCTCATAAGGATGAATCATATTCTGACACATAATAAAAATGTATACTGTGTAGTCGAACTTTCTGAAATAAGAATTAGTTCCTAACACCTTAAGGACCACAGTCAGTGACTACCTACATGTCGTCGTTGGTCGACAACTGGATGCAAAACTGGTGCAGTTTGGAAAATGGTGAGATTTCGTCAGCCACCAGTGGTATATAATTGTGGTCGGAATTATACAGTAATGGAGTCACTACATTCAGCTTTCCATTTATTTGCTAGACCTAGATCAGGACCCTGTGTAAACCAATCCTACATGATTGTCTCTCACTTCACATATGCGGACCTCATGCTCAGGACTTCCAGAAGACTCTACATTTTTTATCAGAATTATCATCTACACTATTCAGGTCAATTATTCCTTAGGTAGTCCGTCAGATTTCCACACAAAATCAAAATCCATAATATGTATGAGTAGTCTTAAGTTAACCTTATTAATTAATTGGCGTCACTTCATAGGATCACTTTCTATAGGCTCTTATGTTGATGATGAATTTAAGCAGAGTGTCTTGGTCTACACCATTCATGATAAGACAGCCGTCTATTTTGACTGACAGAGATAAAGGCCGACCTGAGGTCAAATCCAGGTTCGTGCGTATTTAACTACTTGTCGGAAAGTATGTTCCATCAATGTTCTCATCAGAATCTTAGCTTGTTTGACCCTATTTCACTCTGTCTCGATATCTGTAAAGCCTAGGACAGTAGGCACTATAGTGGGTCAAGTTAATTCGACAAACATTTACTCCCTTTTTATGAATTTGGATGATTAGCAGAATATGGAAAGGAAACTATGTTGAGTTCCTTAGTTAGTTTCATATTAGTCATTATAGTAGTAATGATATTATTATTATTGTTCCCTTGGGTTCCTAGTGGAACATAGGGCTTCAACTGTGCGTCTCCACTTGCTTCTGTCTTCTGCTGTACTTTTCACCTGTCTGTCTGTCTGTCTGTTTTCGACATAGAACTTTGCCAAATGTGCGGAAGTTCAAGTCGCCACCTTTTCACCTGCATCCATGTTAGTCCTCTTCACACGATCTCGTCCATGTCACCCTTACATCGACGTCCCACTCGGCGCTTCCCTTTCGGGTTCCACTTGAGCAATGGCCTGACGCGCGATGTCACCCACCGGCTTCCTCAGCGAGCGTCCAATCTATCTTCACTTTCTCCTGCATATTTGTTGAGCGATTGGTTCTTGTTTTGTAAGTTCCTTGTTTCCCATAGTTGGTGATTCTTTCCGGCCCGGCCATCTGATCTTCAGTACAGAGCGAAGACAGTTGTTGATAAAGGTCTGCAACAGGCTGTTGGAAATATTCTTTGTGACCCGCCCACCAAGTTTCTGACCCGTATAGAAGAACTGACTGACTTGACGTGTTTGTGTTGAAAATCCGACCGAATTTTGTTGTTGATGCTGAGTGACGTGGATTTCCAGGTTGGTGAATGTGTTTCTCGCCTTCCCGATTCTCGATGTGACATCCTCGTCCGTTCCACTGCCTGTAGTTGAGACAATGCTTAATGAATGAAGTAACCTCTTTCAAATCTCTCCCGTTGATGGCGAGTGGCACTGGATGTTGCTGTTCTTGTTGTTATTGTTGGTTGGTTATTTTCATAACCTCCTGTCTTTGTTGCTTCTTTGTTTCGTTGAAAATCACCTTCAGAGAGTTCCAATGGTCTTCCACGCGTGAATCTTCCTTGATGTCACGTAGTGTTTCCTGCTTTACTCTGATAGTTGCAGTGAAAGTGTCCTCTGTGGTTGTGTCCTTCAGTTTTTGAGTGTTGAACTTGAACTGTGGCCTATCCCCAGGTATCTTCGAGGCTTTTAGCTTCACGTTGAAATTCCCTTGTACTAGATACTAATGATAATAATAACAATAATGGTTCTATCAATAGTAGAGATGAAAAAGTGAGACAATCTGTGATAACACGAATAACGAGAAACAGCACGATTAAACAAACAAATGTTCATGTTAGACAAGTATATTAATATGATGTGTAGAATTTAGGCACCGTAGTAGAATGTAATTCCATATTAATTTGCTTATTAGATATGTCACACAGTGAGATAGTACTATCTATCGGATGACGTTTCGAACACAACTTATTGTTCATAATCTCCTCATCAGTTGTGACCTCACAACTTCAAAACTCTCGTTTTGTAGTTTTCTCTGTTCGTTCCTATCTGTCGTAGAGGTGGTAGGATTTTCCAGATGTCAGGCTGGACAGGTGGTGGAACCGAAGTTGTGAGGTCATAATTGACGAGGAGATTATGAAGAATAAGTTGTGTTCGAAACCTCGTCCTCCAGTAAATAATACCATGCGATATATCTAATATAGAAAATTAAAACAAGTGATTCAGCGAGGAGACTCTCGCCAACAACGAATTTATCATCAAGCAGTACAATCGTATATGCATGTATGGTGTTTTCAAGAAGCAATATCCGACGAGGGAATTGAATCATAGGTATGAATGCATAAAATAATGATATTAGTAGGATGAAATACAAGTGAAATGCTTGTGATTATAATCATGGTGAAATGTCAAATAGCAAAACAATCAATATCATATATAGAATAATCCATAGTATGTAGAGAACTTGGAGGAGATGTACAATTATAGGATTAGTAGACAAATCGAATCAAATAAAAAACGTTACGTGACAGTGCATGAAATTTGATAACATAGAATTTTCTATAGTTTGGTTTGTAAGGGTTAGTTTTGTTTTTTACGAGTTGATCATGGATTGATATCAGTTAGAGAACCATTGAAACCAGCTTGAGGGAGTACTGGACAGCCAGCTGTTTCATCCTAGTTTGAGAATCGTCGGCAGTACAAACCCACCACACTGTGGGAATCAAACCCACGACCTTCCGGTTACAAGGCCAGCTAGCTGGCTCGTATATCATGCAGCCACTGGGAGCCGACTCCTCAATGGCTAGAGCATGAATTCTAACTCCTACCAATTCGTGATTTAGCACGACTCCAGACAATACCGTCGGTGAGACATCCATCTTCACATGTGACTGGATGGAACTCACTGGTCATGACTTCTCACTAGAACTTCGGGAAACTCCGTCTTGTAGCAAGTCACTAGCGAGCATCACATTAAATTTCTATAGTTGGTTTGTAAGGATTAGTTTTGTTTTTAAGAGCTGATCACAGATTGATGTCAAACCAATTATAGAAGTTTAATTTGATCCTTGCTGGTCACTTTCTACAGGATGGA